CATCAGCGGCCCTAGCACCTGTAGATGTCCGTCGATAAAGCGTCCGGATAGCACCGAGTACAATGACCGAAAACCCTGGACAATTGTGTACTTCTGCTGATAAAAAAGGACAGTTAGAAAAGAAATTGAACTGGCTGCTGTGATCAGCCCGAGTCTGGTCCATGTGGCGGGCTGTCTTCCTTAGATGTTGAAAACAAAAGCTGAGGTAATTCAGAGAAAGCCGGTGTCGGCGCACCTGTAATCTACCCAGAGACGATCACGGTGCCATGCGTCTTGCGCTTTGAGCCACAGAAAGGTGTACGAATTCACTCTTTTATATATTACATGTATCTATTTTTTGTGTTGAATCTCTTGAATGCTCTTTCACTGCTGGCTGATATTATGCCCGTTATATTCTAGAATCAGTGCTGAAGCACCTTTTTACAAAATTCGAGAAAAATAAAGATTAAAAAGTTGTAACCATCTTGACTTTTGATATCTTATTTACAATTTAACGAAATATTTCCACTGAATCTCGTTTGTTGCGTTTGTGATGGGTATGCAAGAAATGTTTACAGAGGTACGAGAAAATAGCGTTGTAAAATGCAATGTAAGATAATCAAAAGGAAGGTTCATAGTGATCAAATGGGACTATCAAACTGGTCAAGCTAGTGCATGAATTCTTTTTTATTTTCGCAACTAAAGATCCTCCGTGCAAGGCTGTGCTACGTGTGCTCGCGGGGCCGGCAACAGTCCTATGTATTTTAACCGACAGCAACGAGCCACGGGGAAACAACTGTCACCAACGAGAAACATTAACCATAAAGACTTATAGAAAGACAAATAAAATCTGACGCTTTTTGGCGCTGAAAGATATGACGAATTACATGCCTGGACAATGCTGGGCAGTGTTTTCTTGTGCACTTTTAAAAAATGAATCATACCGAACCCGCCTTAATCTTTTTGTAAGCGGTGCAATTGAGAAGAAAAATACATTCAACACACTATTTATAACCACAGTTGTTGATACACAAGAATTTATCAATGATGAAAAAAATCTAGAAATGCAAGTGTAAAACGTTAGTAGGTTAAATGTGACGCGCTTTGTTTGTTTGCTTTATTTATCCCCGTTTTAGGCAACGTCAATTCATTCTATTTTGGTATGAGTCATTTCGGGTACGTTACATTTGACAATAAAAGACATTTACGTAGACGTAACCAATCGCTCTACGGTCAACAAATAGATGCGGATTCCTGCGTGCTCTGTATTTCCTTCGCTTTAGGTTAGACGGAGTAATTCTTGATTCCCCGGGACACAGGTAAATCTTTTCACGGCTCAAGGATGCCAAGGTCACCAAAATCTGAATGGATCGTCGTAAAGAACAAGGCGATACACAAGATAAGGCCCGAAGTCAATTTTTTTAAAGCACCACTACGTACACTATCATTAGCACATGACGCACTTGTTGTGGCATTTACCAAAGCTGTTATTTCCTATCACTATATTTCTTTGGTCAATTTCATAAAACGCTTACTTGAGTAGAGTTCAGAAAAAAAGAAGAAATCAGAAAAACATGAATAAGATGCATTTGTTAGACAAATGAATGATAATTAATTCGTCGATAACATTTCCTAGTTACGCGTGTCGAGGGCATTTTTTCATTGTTAAATTTAAACACCAAAATCTTTTTAATGCCTATTTCTTATACAATTCCTTGGCTAAAACATGATGTTGCTATAAAAGACTTGAAGAGTCATTTTAAGAGTGTATTTCTTTACGGCTTCGTGGCAGGCTAACCGTTTCTATGAAAATAGCGGGATGGTTTCTATTAATTTATATTCTTCGGATTAATGAATGCTATATTAAGTCATAAACGGATTCATCCCTCATCTGACGGAAATAGACACGCAGGACAAACCAATGAAATCTGAAATTGAGGTGTTCCGTGCATTAGCTGCGGCAAGTTTAGTAATAACACAATCCATTAACTTTATCGCTGTTGTTTACGTGTTATAACTATACGCTGGGTTATGAAGAAAAAAAAAGGTTTGCTTAAAAGTGACAGTGCTTCTCCTTCGCATGGGTGCACATAGCAAACGAGTCATCCCGGGCAAAGAAAGGTGCCGCGCCTAGGATACTTAACGAGCTTAAGCGACATTAAAATTGATTTATACTACTAGTAGCTTTCCTACAACAAAATAACACGTTTATTTAAGAAATCATAAATTACACACGCTCTTGTACAATGTAGATCAGTTCCCATTAGTGCGTCTTATGAGAGGCACCAGATCGCTGTTGACGGTTTTTTGTGCGACTTTACGTTGCAAACATAATCTTTGCGATGAATCAAAATAAGATCTCCTTCTTTTTGTTAGGTTAATTTATCTGGCATCACCGAAGTGCCTTGAGATGAGAAAGTTTAATATTGTCTGATATTTTGTCTTTACTGAATGCGGGGTAAGGAAAAGAGATGGCGGCCCTGATAAAGGCATGTAAAATTGGCCTTGTCATGTTATATGAACGAACCTTGACTGGAGGCGATTTTCGTTCCCAAGAGATGAATGAATAAAATATACTTTTGCTAGGTATTTTTTTGATGAAAGATTAACGCATTACTTCTCGATGAAGGTCACTTGGATGCCCGATGATGGCTTAAACAGTTGCTGACCAAACCAGTTACCTAAGTCCCTAATTCTGTTACCAGGAATTTTATTAGTCCGGCATTGCCCCCGAATGCTGTATATAACAGAGGGCTTAAGCCCTTCAACTTGTTTAATACATACAACCACGAAAGGGAGATTTTAATCCACCTTCTCCACCTGTTTACCGATTATATCTTGTGGACAAAGGGCTGGTAACCCCACCACCAGGTAAACAAAAAACGAGCCACTTAACTCTCAACTTAGGTCAACCCACTGTGCGTTTTATATAAATTAAAATTTATGACAGAGATATTCAGAAAAGTCACAGTTTGTATTGTTTATTGTAAAAACACCAGATCATGTAATGTCACTGTACTCATCGCCTTATTTTTCACGTTATTTCTGGGAATCATTTCAACATAGTTCCTGGTTCTTGTCTTGACCGCGTTTGTGTGGGTGTGCGAGTAATAGTAGTGAGGCTACTGGATTCGTGAGATGAGTCTTTTCACGGCCGACTCTTTGATTGTCCACTTTATGAATATTGCATGAGATTTAAGGTCAGACATATACTATAATACGACCGCGATGTGCTAATGTTGTTTGGGGGGGGGGGGGATGCTGTTCACGCATGACTAATAATTTTACGAACTTTCACCTACACAGAGGGAGTGATTTTTTCTGTCTCGGACAGGTGTCAGACAAACGGCTTTATATCCCGTAGGTGGCAGACTAAGTCTATGGGAGATAAAAATGTCGTCGGAAACTTGCACTTTCACAATTTGGTGGTTTTGATACATCACTTTTTCCTGTTGATACTAATTTTCAATTTCATGCACGTTTATTTCGATATCCAAACTAATTTCGACTGCAGAACTAAATGGTCTCCGAGGGAGGGCATTTTTCGGCGTTCCATGATACGATAGAAACCCTTACTACGCGGCACCCTTTAATTACTCTATTATTATCCTCAGTGCCCGTGAAACAATCACCAGCGACCTCTGATGCCGTCATCGACAAACCACCGCTCTGACTTCAAGACTTTGTCAAAACTTTGAAATTCGATCCCAGCCAAACTCATGCAAACTTTAACATCCACTTTCGCTCCTTGTCGTGGGCACTAATCTCTGGTGACAAGCCGGGGTAAGGACGTGAACACGCGACATTGGACAAAACGTTTTTTTCCTTACTGTCGCAATTCTACACTTTGATTTTAGTTTTGAAGTTTGAAGCTGCCGCTCAATTTAGATTTCCACACGATAGTTAAAATTTGGGTAATTTAGAGAACAACATGAACGATCTTGAATGCTATTTTCATTTCTGATAATTATTTGAAATTATTAAGTAGGTAAGAAGTAAGAGCGATAAGTTGTAAGGACTTCAGATCTTTTCATCTCCCCGCGATACTATTTATTATGTGCCCGAAAGAATGACCTCCTTTCAAAAGCTTTTTTAAAGAGCAATAGTGCTAAATATACCAATGACAAATGAACGCAATCGGCTAATATCATAAGCTGATGTGTGCTAGCACTTGGGTTTTCTAGAAATATTGTTTGAATATTCTACTACTGCCGCACATCAAGCTAAAATCACAAGTATTATTATAAGTTTTCGCTAACTATTGATTAACTTCATTTTATTTCAGCTGATGGTTAGTTTTAGTTACTGGTTGTTTACAAAATGTTAACTGTTTGCTTGCTAATTCTCATCAAAAGTTAGGTTAAGGCGTGAATTAAAATTGTGCGACTATAGGGCCAAAGAACGTAACACAAGTGATGCTGTTATCGTACTTCACGCTTGCTCTGATGTTCCTTCATTAATTAAGCAAAGGCCGAGTGAAGGGGAAAATTAGTTGTCAGAATGCCGTTTAGAGTTTAATTAAACTTAGCAGGTTGCTGATTTCAGTGCTAGTTAAGTTAGCCTTTACTGCGCACAGGTAAGTTATTTTACGTGCCTTAAGATTCCCGTTGACTTTATGCCTATGGGTCATTAATCTCTTTTTAAAATGAAGCGACCTTAACTTCAGTCGCGGCCTAGATTTTCATTCTGTAACAATAGAGGCATTGAAGTAGTCCCCTCTGCTCACCAAGCCGTGTCTACCTTTCTGCCGCGGTAAGAACGCAAGATGGGGCTTTAACTCGTTCGCTTTACTCAAATAAAATTTTGTTTATAGAGGAATCAACTTGTGTCGGTGTTTGCTTTCACGACTTAGACTAGAAACACAAATGTATGACACTTTCCCTTTCAACCAAACCAATCAAACCCACGTTTTCTTCATTATAATGCATTCACCTTTAAGTGCTGCATGTGTCAATCAAGTCAGCAGTGACCAATCAGCGCCATGCTTACAAGCTAAGAAGTCGTGGCCGCGGTAATGATAAGGCTCCTCATCCATAACACATAAAGTGAGGTCCCGTTTTGCATTTCAGATCAGCTAACACGAGCCTCCCCTAGCAGTAGGATGACCACAACAGCGACAGATCTGTACATAGCCACCAGTGCTCAGGCTGTGTTTACAGAATCACCAGTGGAAAGCCACGGAATGCATTCGCAAGAGATGTACCACCGAGATCATTTAAGCGACATGAAGTACATGTCAGCTCACAACCAAAATGGGCACTTTATGGGGCATCCACAGTGGATCACAGGTATTCCAACACATAGTGACTCGGGACACTGGCCCCCTGCCAGTACGACACCCCCAGGACTGTATGGGGGACAAGACATGAAACAAAACATGGCAGATTTGCGCCAGTCTCATCAGACCCACATTCCAGCGGCCCACGGCTGGGCGACTCACGGGGGGATGGTTCAGACCCACCTTGGGATGGGCAACAACACGTCCCCCTCTGACCCATCAGCCACCCCACCAGGGAGGGTACGGGCTCAACATGAATGGCATGTTAAGTCCACAACAAATTCATCCAGCTTTACGCGATCCCACAGTCGACGACTTGGAACGCCAACATGCCGAAATTTCGGATGAGGACACCCCAACCTCAGATGACTTGGAACAATTTGCCAAACAATTCAAACAGAGGCGGATCAAATTAGGTTTTACGCAGGCAGACGTTGGGCTGGCCCTGGGAACATTATACGGTAACGTTTTTAGTCAAACGACAATTTGTCGATTTGAAGCTTTGCAGTTGAGTTTTAAGAACATGTGTAAACTAAAGCCTTTACTTCAAAAATGGCTCGAAGAAGCAGATTCTACATCAGGGTCACCTACTAGTATTGATAAAATTGCAGCGCAGGGGCGTAAGCGTAAAAAGCGCACTAGTATTGAAGTGACTGTAAAAGGGGCTCTTGAAAACCATTTTCTTAAGCAACCCAAACCATCAGCGCAAGAAATAACACAACTCGCAGATTCGTTACAACTAGAGAAAGAAGTGGTGCGCGTATGGTTTTGTAACAGACGACAGAAGGAGAAAAGAATGACGCCCCCAGGGACGATAGGACCTAACGGGGAATTCATTCCCGCGCCACCGGGCTATGACCCTTCAGAGCACCACAGTCCCATGCATGGGAGTCCGTTACAACAGCATCCTAACGGCAGCCCAATACACCACGGAGGAAACGGCTCTCCGCTTATGCCTCATCACCATCACCATCAAGCCCACCTCCCCCCCCACACTGTGCCACAGACTATGCCACAGACTATGCCACAATCTCTCGTTGTAAATCAACATCATCCGACGACGGCGTAAAAAGACGTTTGTGAGCATTTCATGGACATATTATCTCTACAGGTGCTACTCAGTGACAAATTTTTCTTCCAAATATTGAGAACAATCGCCATTTATAACAAAAACTTGTTATTTTGGGAACGATGGGGTTTATCGTAAATTATCGTTCCTGAATAAGTTACTTTTTTTCCCACCTAGACTGGTCTCAATCCACGTCTAACAGAAACGATTCTTCCATTTCTGGACAGATGACACTGTTCCAAATTGATGAAAGCAGACGATCAAGTTACCTTGGCAGACGACAAGCTGTGACATCTGCACTGTTGCAGACGACACAGATGAGTATACTCATGTTCTATAACCTACCTACCTATTTCACCAATGAAAACCGAGATTTAAGGAAATATACTTGTACAAATGGCAGAAGATTTTTATAGAGTTTATATATTATTATTTTCATTATTTCTGTATTTGTTTTAAGTTAAAGTGCAAAGACAAAGAAAGTTGTTATTTTATACATGCTGGTGCTTTTGTCCTTGCAGGCTTGTCACTCTGTATTTATGTATTTATAGACGCAGAGTACCAGACTTAAGTTCATATATTTTAATCAATGTAAATATTAAAGTTGTGTAATTTAAAATTTATTCTGTTTATTGCGTGTACATAGTAAGACATGAAATGTTAGTGTTTAGTTTTTAGTTAGGGTATTAATTTATGAAAGTATGGAGTAAGTAAACAAAACAACGTGCCACTCGGCAATGCCAAAGCATTTATTTAGTTTTTAGAAATAAGAAATTCCAGTGGGTGTATAAATCCCATTCTATCTTTTGCTTTAGTAAATGAATATCCCCAAAGGCGACCTATTTTCTTGAATATCTCTACAATGTTTTTTTTATACGTTTGCATGTCACAGTCGTGATTGTCTTCTTTTTATTTATACCTGATGTGAATTGTTTAGAGGTCGTTAGGTTAAGAGACCAGACTCCTTGAATTATCTCTGCCTGTTATTACAATATTAATCACAAAGAGAGAAAGCGAGAGAGTTAATGATGATGGCCAGAAGTTTGATGCCACAACCATATTTCCATCTCCTTTAAACTCCCTCATTTACCAGTGCGAAGGCTCAGTCACTACTTCCTTGTACTGATATGTGGAATTATTATCATTAGTCGGGTTGAATCAGTGTCTTCAGAACCGTAGCTAGGGTTCGTGCTCAATATACATTCCCAAACAAACATCTGTGTACCTCTGTACTTACTATATATCATCTCTGTACTTCAGCATATGTAGATTTGCCAATACTTTCGATTTGGCTGCTTATGAGGCAATATGTGATCAATTAGATATAAATTAAGGAAATCTGCATCTCTGTCATATGAACTAGTTGAAATATTTATGAAGAAAAACAAAGAATAAATGATAACAATTTTCTACTAGACACGACCCAAAGTATGCAGTTTTTTATTGACCTAAATTTTATTTTATACTGCCGCGGGCTAGATTTACTACAACGTAGAGTCCCATGGTACGGCTCGTAAATTCGGTCAAATTTACTCGGTAGAAATGCTCTGTCAGTAGCCCTAATACAATAATGTTGAATTGGAACGCTCAAAGCGCAAGGTTTCCCACTAACACTCCGTTCATTTATCTCGCATTTTACAACACGTGTGAGTATATGGATTTTCATATCAACATGTGCAGTCATGGTCTGTAGGCACAGGTTGCTCCTCTGTTAAACCATAATTAAATCTCTATTTAATACAAGGATAAACGTCTTAGAAAAAGTAAACTGTCTGCATTTTTTTTACTCAGGGGACTATTTAAAATAGGTAATAAGTACCATTATAAAGTTGCAACAGACACTAAATCCGGTCTCAGATATATTTTTATTTAATAATTAATGTTTTGTGGTATTTAAAAAGAAATATTTTATGCAGATGAATGAGCTAATAAATACATTATTTATCATTACCTCGCTTTGTATTTTCATTTTGAAACAAGAAAAAAAATCTCATCAGACTGCTGACTTGAGACCGGCACTGAACCTGAGCGTTCATTAATAATAAATATTTGATTAAGTTGTTAATTAAGCATATAATTTCTCAGACAGTTCCATTACCATTGAACCAGACGGAGACTTACTCGAAGAAAAAAAGAGTTTATCAGAAAGCTTGAATGGTTCGTCATTCTCTAAGTCAGGCTAAGCGGCTTTTAAGTCCCTATTCCCTTTCAGGTATTTAACTCGCGAATCGCTGTTTTCCCGAGGTATTGTAGGCTGGTTAATCGGCCAATGGACCGGCTTTTTGATTGCACAATGGCTCCAATGCACAGCTGTTATTCGATGTGTTAACTTAGGCTTCCCTAACAATAGCTAAGACCCTCTAATTCTGTTGGTAAACGGGAACTTTCTGACTTCAAAGGTGACCATCGGGAAAACCACGTCACCTGTACCATGCAGTCTTGTTAAGGGTGCTTGATTATATCGGCTGACAAGCAATTTAGAATAATTCAATATTTAAGATCTTCAAACTCGATTTTTATTTTTCAAGAAATATCGATGTATTGTAAAATTCGAAAATATATTAGATGAAATCTGTGAAAATATTTTAGATAAACAAAAAGCTCTATTCTTCAAGGAAAAACACAATTAAAATATCTATCAAAATTACGCCTCAAGGTCCGGCAAAATTATCGACTGATATTTACTATCTTTCAACTAACACGTTTTGAGAAACTTGACTTTCTTTCCTAGACGTCAAAAAGCTACACGGAGGTCATTTGTTCTCGGTCTTTTGAGACATTCTCGTTATGACTCTAACCGTTGGTTACTACCCAAGAGTATCAACCTTTTTGGTGTGCGCAACCTACTTGAAATATTACAACGTATCTACAACGAGGGTTAGAATACCAAGACCTCCTGTGAAGAAAAGTGTATTATCTTAAAAGCACCCCATAATGTATATTTTAGCACCGAGCATTGGTGCCGAACAGCAATGGAGCTCGGGAAAAATATACTAATAGTAGGTTAATCTGTTGTAGGCTAATGTTGTGATCCACATATCGTGCAATTCTTTACTGCTTTATACAGCACTATTTTACGCCAACTGAGCTCACATCTGTTCCGAGGTCCCACAGTCGCCCAAGAAGCTGACATCACGCGAAATGAACATTTTTTTCGCCAATGATTTCGCGACAGCAGAGCTTCACTTTTAAGACAAGGTTTTACAATTTGTAGGTAATTTTCATTGGAACTAGAGGGCCCTATACTAATTTTTTTTATATAAATCAGATACTGGCCGTTAAAATTTTTGTAATTACTCTGCAAGGTAGTGAGTCATAAGACACTTACGAAGGTTCATATAGCATTGTGCACGTGCCTTATGAAAAAGACCCTAATGGTCACACTCACTGGATGTTTATTTGTGAATATATTTTAAATTTCAAAGCTGATAGTGAAAATCGCCATAACTGTTAACAAAAATAAATAAATAGATAAATTAATTAATTAATAAATACATAAATAAAAATAAAATTAACACAGGTTCTGACGTAGTGATGTTAAATCCAAAGAAAAAAACGACAGCTACTCAAAAATAAGTATAGATAGATTTATAACCAGGTCCGCATTTTATCCCTACGGTCCAGTCGTAAAGGGGGATGAAAGCAGCACTATGGACAGTATCATATATACCATATATTGGATTAGCTTATCCTCTCTATTTCCTGTGACCACCTTTGAGTGTAATACGACCTGTATACAGGTGGGCCATTCCACCGGGCAATCTCAATTTGTACTGAGGCCAGACTCCATTAACTGCAAACTGATTTTTATTTCAAATAGAGAAAAAATTTCCTTGATGGCGTTTTTACAGATACATCAGCAAAAATAAACATAACGCTGAGGAGGAAAAAAGGACCTTTTAGATTGAAAATCAGACACCCCATTTAACCTTATTTTGATGCTGAAGCTACTATGTTAATTTTTTCTCTCGAGGTGAGGGGTCTTTCGGCTCAGTCGGTAACTAGATGGAAAGAAAATAATACGAAATAACAGTTTGGCCTTCTTTGATACTATTATTGCCCATCGTAAATTGATCTGGCAATTGATCATATAAACTTCTTCAGATAAGGCGGTAAGCTAACTTCAGTAGAAAAACATGTCTCTCTCCGGCATTTGCCAGCACTTGAGACGGGACCATTTCGACATACAAGCCTTGCCTGTCAGTCTAATAGTACACCGGTTTTTTTAACACAAAGGACATTGAGTCACAGACTTATGCCGGTTAAATTTTGCTTTTTGAATAAAATAACTTCAAAATTTGTGTCTTTAACTTGTTAGTTCTGCCCGGCATGTCTTCAATGATGTATAAAATGATGGTGGTTTTTCATGAATGTTTAATCGTATTATTAGTTTTCAAGAGTTAATGTGATACATGAGGGTGCTGTCACTCAAGTTGACATTTAAATAACATGCTAAATGACACGCTAACTGAGAATTATCTTCTAAATGTAAGATGTGTTAAGTAATTTGTCTTCTTAATTTTATATTGGTTCAAATCACAGCCTAAATTTCATATAGTTTTATTTCGCACAATGAGCTAAGTAAGCATGGAGTGCATGGTTTCTCGCCATTGCATTTCGCAGTTATCTTGATTTTTAACATATCATTACAAGGCAGCATAATTTTACAGAAACAAAGCAACTGATAACGAGGGGATGAGATTTATTTCTCTCGACAACTGGCTTTGTGAAGTTGGGATGACTTTATCTACTGTGCAGATGACCTATCGCTGTCCCGACACATTGCAAAGGAATTTATAGCTATAAAACCCGTGCTCCTATCTATCTTCAAATATATCATATGTGTATCGGCACAGAACCAAGGGAAAAGACAATGAAATTATCGTGTAATTCATCAATCGTCTTGGACCATTATGAGGTGTCGAGGGGCAAAAACATTAATTATTTGTCTAAATTTATCTTCATCTTCTCGTATCTCAAATAAAACCGTTATCAGAATCTTAGGCTAGCTGGCCACTGAGAGAAGAAAGACAGATTTTGTCTGCAGAGGTCGGCAAGGTGATAAAAATTACTTTTGCAGCAGACTCCTTCGCCTTAATAATCCAAATGCACTAGTTTTTCATAGTCGCCCAACATTATGCTAATTCACTCTTCAAGTTTGATATTCCAAATCGTTAATTTGTTATTTTAATTGCCCAACCAGGACGATTAAATTAAATAACTATCGCGACCGCGTTTGTTTACTTATTTGATATGCCTGTTCTAATTGAGATGTACCCAATAAAATTCCACTTCTGTCGTAATAATAATTGAAGTAACGGCACACGACTGTAGGGATAAGAAATTGGGCCTTCTGGCCGGGGGCAGGTGGTCATTAATCAATAGACTTCAATGACCACAGATGACCAGTACTATCTGGCCCCCGCCTTCCCATCACTTCCTATTGAATTATTACATTAACACGCTATTAATGATTACGAGGTATTGCCTAAACCTAATATAAATCAAATATTTTTGTCTCAAAGGACTCATATTTGTAGGCTTCCCCGACAAAGAAATCTTTCAATCCAGCAGCATATGAGCAAGTTCTGTCGTGTTATTAATCTTCATATTTTCTATGGCCTAACATCGGGGTTCAAAGGAAGTGAGAAATCACTCATTTTCCTCAACTTTGACGATTAAAAGCAAAACAAAATGTTTGGTGCATTTCTAACATCTGCGTCAGCACAGAGAATTCTATTCTACACTCCTTCGCTGTTTTCTATTTATTTATTTATCTATTTTGCTAGATGCTAGTTTTAAAGCATTAAGTGTGTTTTAGTATAATATATACAATACATTATTTAAAGAAACACCATCTAGATTTACTTTGCCATCTAAAAGTCAATTTAATATTGGTTTGATTTTTAGAGTGCAGTAGTTAGTATTTGATTCCCAATATTTTCCATGTATATTTATTAGAATGAATTCATTCGCTTATTTCAAAACCATTGAGACAGATCCCAGGAAAATATTGGAAGCATTAAATCTGCTACGGTTGATCACCAGACGTCGATCGTTTGGGTCACGTGCGCCAAATTAGAGCCCATTTGACACACGAGCATATAGCAGCTTAACAATGCGTTAAGAGACAGATGATACCATTACATGGAGTTTATAGTTCATGCCTCGCTCTGACTAGATCTTAGGAGACTCCTTAAGACCTGACCTGCATGCCTTAACAATTTGCCTTCTAAAATAGAAAGCGCCTTCTGCCTATTTTCTCTGTCTGATTTCCCACTAAATTTATGGAAAGTCACAAGCGTTCCTCGTCTTAGGATTCCCCGGAGCCGCACAATATTGTACCCTGAGCCAAATAAACAAATGTACAGATTAGCCTTAATACAACAATTGCTCTCTAAATTACAAGGCATGAAATA